GTCGAGGAGAGTTGAAATCAAGTCAACATTATGGTAATGAGCTATGACGCGGTTCAGCGGCAAGCAATCAGAATAGGCCTTTTTCACACTTCCTGGTTCCGGTAACCGAAGCAGTGTACCACAACATCCGGTTTCAATGCGACGGAGCAAGAAAGAATGGCAGGGTCATCTCAGCGCTGTGATTGCTGCGTTCCCAGCTGCTCCAACTCAAAAACGACACTCTTACTTTAATGACCACGATCTCCCGAAAGACGAAGGACAGGGAAAATCGTGGATGACAATATTAAAGGGGGTTGAATGCCGTTTCAAGTTCAATATGTGGGAGTACATTCTTATGCTGTATGCATTTCAAAGCGGAGATTATTGTTTCATTAAAGACTGGTGGTCTATGGTTTATTTTGATGAATAATTATAATATAGACAAAACTCCAGTTAAACTATCTGCCTTCCACAAACAAGTGCTCATCATGGTCATTAATCTATAAGCATGATTTATCCCTACATTGTTGTTATTTTGGAATAATAGTTCATACAAATGCAAATCTTTTTTTTTAATTGGTTTGACAGCAAAATTATTTGTTTAGTCAGTTATATAATAAAGATAGTATACTTTAATGTGTTATTTAATGTGTTAATGTTTAAAATGTTATTTGCTGTTCTTTAAATAAAAAATAAAAAAGAATATTATCCACGAGTAGGAGCTAACGTGTTTCCAGACTTGAGAAAACCTCACGAGCATTAAACAACCTGTAATGTATTAACCGATAGCAACTCGCCTGTACAGCAACCTCGCCATTCACTATATCTGACTCTGAATAAAAAGGAAGGAGGGGGTTAGCACAGTTTACAGACGGGACTACTGACATAAAACTCATCCTGCTGGATGTTAAATAGCCAGGATAATCTAGTTTACGAATGGCTTGAATGAGCAGATTTTATGCTGTTGGCTGTGCACCTTACTGGAACCTGACGTTGCAAACGCTGTGTAAGACACGTTTTCTGCACAAACTCTGCAAATCGGTATTATCTTTTAAATGCTGTTTTATTTAGGCAGTTTTACACATTCACCGAAAAACATCTTCCTGTCCAAATTATGGCAAAGTTGACCGTGAGAAAGTCATCTGCTGTCCCGAGGCTGTCATGTCTCTGCGACTCCTAGCGAACCCGGAAATATCGATACACTGCTTCGAAGGGCGCTTCCGGTGTTCAATTCCGCTGTGAAAAAGGGGCAGGCACTTTTTTCCAGGGGTTTCAGTACAGCGTAACCGCTATTGCGTCATCGGGTGGGCTCGGCCTATATGTGAATTTGCATAGGTCACGGATCATGCGCAGATTGTGAAAACAGCCGTTTGATTCAAATACCTGTACGTATTCGCAGGGGTTTTGTGTCCAATGCCTTTTATATGCAGTACATGTGAAATCAGTGTATGTTATATTAAACAAATTAACTTAAGTTACCTCTCAGATTACATTAATATTGTTATAACTTAAGATACCTGTCCCGATCCCAGGGCTTTTGTGTCAAATACTTTATATATCATAAACAGTAACATCAGATACCTGTCCTGATCCCAGGTGTTTCATGTATGATCACGTTTATATTAGTTAACATCAGATACCTGTCCTGATCTCAGGGGTCTCATGTATGATCACTTTTAAATACAGTAACATCAGATACCTGTCCTGATCTCAGGGGTTTCATGTATGATCACTTTTATATACAGTAACATCAGATACCTGTCCTGATCTCAGGGGTTTCATGTATGATCACTTTTATATTATATACATTAACATCAGATACCTGTCCTGATCTCAGGGGTTACATGTATGATCACTTTTATATTATATACAGTAACATCAGATACCTGTCCTGATCTCAGGGGTTTCATGTATGATCACTTTTATATACAGTAACATCAGATACCTGTCCTGATCCCAGGTGTTTCATGTATGATCACTTTTATATTATATACAGTAACATCAGATACCTGTCCTGATCTCAGGGGTTTCATGTATGATCACTTTTATATACAGTAACATCAGATACCTGTCCTGATCCCAGGTGTTTCATGTATGATCACTTTTATATTATATACAGTAACATCAGATACCTGTCCTGATCTCAGGGGTTTCATGTATGATCACTTTTATATACAGTAACATCAGATACCTGTCCTGATCTCAGGGGTTTCATGTATGATCACTTTTATATTATATACATTAACATCAGATACCTGTCCTGATCTCAGGGGTTTCATGTATGATCACTTTTATATTATATACATTAACATCAGATACCTGTCCTGATCCCAGGTGTTTCATGTATGATCACTTTTATATACAGTAACATCAGATACCTGTCCTGATCCCAGGTGTTTCATGTATGATCACTTTTATATTATATACAGTAACATCAGATACCTGTCCTGATCTCAGGGGTTTCATGTATGATCACTTTTATATACAGTAACATCAGATACCTGTCCTGATCTCAGGGGTTTCATGTATGATCACTTTTATATACAGTAACATCAGATACCTGTCCTGATCCCAGGGGTTTCATGTATGATCACTTTTATATACAGTAACATCAGATACCTGTCCTGATCCCAGGTGTTTCATGTATGATCACTTTTATATTATATACAGTAACATCAGATACCTGTCCTGATCCCAGGTGTTTCATGTATGATCACTTTTATATTATATACAGTAACATCAGATACCTGTCCTGATCTCAGGGGTTTCATGTATGATCACTTTTATATACAGTAACATCAGATACCTGTCCTGATCCCAGGTGTTTCATGTATGATCACTTTTATATTATATACAGTAACATCAGATACCTGTCCTGATCTCAGGGGTTTCATGTATGATCACTTTTATATTAGTTAACATCAGATACCTGTCCTGATCCCAGGTGTTTCATGTATGATCACTTTTATATTAGTTAACATCAGATACCTGTCCTGCTCTCAGTTGTTTTGTGTATGATGACTTTAAATAAAAATAGAAAATAAATATGAGTTATGTTAATTAACTAAGATTGAGAAAGAAAAATTATCCACGGTTTATTACAGAAAAATGTGGTATTTATTTGTTTAAACATGACTGAATACCATATTTTAAACTACAAAAACACGGTTAATCTTACCACAACCATTATTACTTGGTTTACGTTACCATGGAAGTACAAAAGCCCAGAGACAGTAAAACGGAGTAAAACGAGGTCATCTGTTTTTGCTAATGAAATCTTTAAAATATAACATTATAAAAACAAAAAAAAAATAACCTGTATGATTGTTTTTTTCCTTCGTTATCCACCGCGGTAGGTTCTTTATCCATAATCATCCGGTTTGAAATGACCGCGCTAAAAAAGAACATGTACTGCGCATGATCGGTGACCTCTCAGTATTGTTTTTTTTCTTTAAGGGGGCGTTTCCCAAACGCCGACCAAGCCACGCCCATTTTACGTCGTGGTAATGAAACCCCTGGAATTTAGTGCATGCCGTGAAAAAGGTCTATGAAGACGTCCACCGCTTGATAGGAGTTCAGAGAACACAGACCTGTGAACTTTGGTTCCGACCACAGTTGTTCCCAAGGGTTTGATAATTGCGGTCGCCGGATTTCCAATTATTTACAATGTTTTCTTACAGGAACCACATGCAACTTGATCTTCCATTGTTATATAGCGACCTTGGATGCTCTCGCCGCTTTCGGTGTGAACGTACAGTTAGCCTGTCATACGAAGCAATCAAAGACGGTTGACGCTCAGCCACAAGATGGCGACAGACAACACAATAAGCCCTTAGAGGAGGAAAAACCCAGTGTAATTTCAATCCACAGCTGATCAAATTATTATAAAACTGGTAAGTGACAATCTAAATCGATCTCTTTCTTTTGTATGTTGTTGTTCTGTATTTATAGAGTTTACTTTGCTTTGGCTTTTTCGGGGTTAATTATTGAGATATCCCAATTAATTACAACAGAAAAATACTGGGAAATGTCTCTAGACTGATGGCATTTCATGCCGTTCAGCCTCATAATCTTAAAATGTGAGCAAGATTACCTGTTTTGTCATCATTTTAGACATGACGCTATAGAAAATAATTTAAAGACTAGCTCTAAAGTGATGTGTGGGATGTAGTAATGGTTTCTGTTGTTCTGACGTCAACTGCAGATGTGAATGAATGATGGAAGAAAGTAATTCCTTTTACAAAAGAATTTTTAGACTCTCCGTGTTTGATTTTCTTTTTTATATACACATTTATGTCATCAAAATGTTGTATAAATGCAACATCACTTGTAGCAGTGCGATATGGATTCATATCATCACTGGTGGCACACTACGGCAATAATGCACACCTCCCACCAGTGCAGAATTTTATTTATTTATTTATTTATTTATTATTTTTTATTTATTTATTGTTTTTTATTAATTAATTAATTAATTTATTTATTTATTTATTTATTTATTTATTTATTTATTTATTTTAAGCATAAACTCAGTACACAAACACATTTTTACTTCTTTGAAAAACTATTTTTGGTCACTTCCTTCTCAAGCAAATATATCTTGATTTAAGAATGTTCAGATAAATTTTTCATATTTAGTTTTTCCTGTAAATTTGTCTTGATTTGAAATTTTTTTAGATTTTGGTTCTGTACAATTATTATTTGATCTAATGTTGAAAAAACAATATCTTACATTATTTGTTTTTCCATTACATTTTGATGAAAGGATTTTTGTATATTGTTCTTAAAAAACAGATGTGTAGGCTGATATCAGTGTGTATGCATGTGTTTCCTGCTCTGCTTTTAACAACACATCTCTTGGTTCGCATGAGCTACATTTGGTTTAGGTGACAGGATGGCCCTCGTGTTCAGCACATCGACCACCTACAGACCGCTTTTTCCCCTTCTCATAGGCAGTTTCTTTTCCTCCCCCTTTTTCAGGCTGAATAAGAAGAGAAGTGAGAGACGAAGAGGCTCAGAGTCGAAAGACACTCATCCACACCAGCAATGCCCATTAGTAGCCCAAGCACCAACGGAATCATGCCTGAAGCAAAGAAAGCAGGTAAGAGCTGCTCTCATTGCCTCACCTCTTTCAATTATATATTATATGAAAAATATTCTTTTATCGGGCCAGACTCATCTGATATATCCCTGTAACTTTTTTTATGATTCAACTCTAACCTTTCAGGTGTCGTTTAATGTTGCTTTATATTTTTAATAATAATGTGGCACAATAAGTGTAAGAGTTTATTAGTAGTAATCTGATTAAATCAATAAATAAGTATATTTGTACACTACCTTATAGAGGATACATATGGTGTGCATAAATGTTCACGTATTGTAGATATATATGGAAGGTGATAAAGAGATCAATTAAAAAAATATATATAACAAAATAAATAAGTACAAATATGTACATAAATACTGCACAAATGTAATACTTGAAAAAATCAACAGAACTATTTATATTGATTATGAAATAAGCTAAATGTGTAATGTAACAACTGCTTTTAATTTTTTATTTCAAATATTTATTTATTCATTTATTGCCTATATATCTGGTTATGGTATAGTACTGTAGTAATTTCATTTCCAAGTTATATAAATGCAAACTTAAAACTGACATTATATGTTTATTGATTTACTTTATATTGATATTTATTCATTTTTAGTATGGTTAGTCTCCTAATCTTTACATTGATTTTGAATGTAAGAATATAACTATTATTGCAAGTTGTATAAATGGTGATGTGAAAAATAAATAATGACTTTTTATTTATTTATTTATTTGTTTGTTTGTTTATTTATTTGTTTGTTTGTTTATTTAATTTTTAAAGTTATTTGGGGAACAGTTGTGTAAATTAGGTATAGTATAACTTTCCAAAACAAATTCCTTTGGCATTGTCCTAATGTGTTAAATTTTAGTTTTAAATAATAATAATAATAATAATAATAATAATAATTTTTATTATTATTATTATTGTTGTTGTTGTTGTTGGTATAATAATAATTATTATTTATTTTTTTATTATTGTTGTTGTTGTTGTTGTTGTTGTTATTGTTATTATTAATATTATTATTATTATTATTATTATTATTATTGTTATTATTCATTTGAAAAGGATATTATTTACTTTAATTTTTTTTTTTAATTAAGGTAAAAAAATAAATCTGTTAGTGTTATGGTGTGAGTTAGGATCAGGGTTAGGATTTATTACTGCATCTGAGAAAAGAAAAAAAAAACATCTAATATTGAATGTCCCTATTTAGACAGCTAAGTGGCCGTGAGAACAACGTCGTAAACCCAGCAATAATAATTCATCTCAGATTATGGTTTGCACCTGCTGATGCAAGCAGACATCTTTTAGACACTTCAAACACACCCAGTCTACATGCCTCAGACCTGCAGTATTTACAGTGCTGGTGACAGTAGCAGAACTAAAAGTGTCACCACAAAGCTGACTTGATTGAGGGTTATTCTGACAGTTTGTGCGAACAGCAGCATCTACTCAGAGCAACCGCATGAGGAAAGGGGCACCTTGGGCATTACTGTCATACTGATACTCTCCAGCTTAATATCTCACAGCAAAACAATAATAGTCTTTACAGACACAAAGAGTTTAGCAGCTGCTATACTCAAACTTTTTGCAGAAAATTAGAGGAAGATACAAGGAAGGATGCGCATACTCGGCCTTGTACACACCCTCTTGTTAATGCAAATATTTAAGGATCTTCACAACCTACAGTATATCCTGTTAATGTACTTTAATAATTGTAAATCTTTTTAAATATACTTCAGTAAATCACTGCACTGTTTGGAAATTCAATATTAGACTGAGACTGACATAGAAGTGAACTGATGCGCATTCATCAGATGAATGTTCTTTCAGGTGTTAATATACTTGCGTGACTCTGTCACCCTTCTACTTTAACACATCACACACATCTGTCATTTCAACAACTCTCTCTCGCTGTCTCTCTGGTTTACGATAGCTCTTGCTCTCTCTCTCAGACTCATTTTACTTCAATATTTTTTTGGTATTTTTAATTTAATTTTAAGTTTAATTTAATTTCATTGATATCTATTTTTTTAAATATTATTTGTAATACTCAACTTTGGAGTTTTTTTATACTGTAAAATGTTCTGACCTTGGTAATTATAATATTTCCAAGTAAATAGTATAACATAATTAAAATAATATAATTAGGAATATATATATATATATATATATATATATATATATATATATATATATATATATATATATATATATATATATATATATATATATATATATATATATATATATATATATATATATATATATATATATATATATAATTATTTATTTATTATTATTATTATTATACATTTTTGATCATACATAAAAATTCTTTAACAAAAAATAAATTTCAACATGGTCGAAATGGAGCGGGATGAAGCACAAGCTTATTATTTTCCCACCCCATTACCACACACATTATTCGTCTATTACTTCAACTTAATTCTTCTTTTACTTATTCTTTTTACATATGACATATGAGCTTTGCAAGAGACATATTTGATCCTTTTGCATCTTTGACATATTATATGTTTGATTCTATTTGTACATTTACATTTTATAACATACACCCAAAAAATAAATAGTATTGCAAACAGCATTGATGAAAAATTTCATATTACCCTTATCATTTTTTTTTTTTTTTCAATAACCACTTTTCGTCATGTCAGTTGGCGTTTCTGTGTGGAGTTTGCATGTTCTTCCTGCCTTCGCATGGGTTTCCTCCAGGTGCTCCGGTTTCCCCCACAGTCCAAAGACATGTGGTACAGATGAATTGGGTAGGCTAAATTGTCCATAGTGTATGAGTGTGTGTGTGAATGTGTGTGTGGATGTTTCCCAAAGATGAGTTGCGGCTGGAAGGGCATCCGCTGCGTAAAAACTTGCTGGATAAGTTGGCGGTTCATTCCGCTGTGGCGACCCCAGATTAATAATGGGACTAAGCCGACAAGAAAATTAATGAATAATATAATATAATATAATATAATATAATATAATATAATATAATATAATATAATATAATATAATATAATATAATATAACTGTTTTTCTTTTATGCATTTCACCTTGATAGGACCTTGTACCCTATTAAAAGAAGCTCCTACTGGTTTCCTATTAGCTTATAAATGATGACATGCCGCCTTCCTGCTTACAGAGGCAATGAAGTGTAAAACCCTTCACAGTAACTCATTTCCACAGCTCTGTCCTTTCCTTATTTATCCCTTTTGTTTTTTAGCCAAGTTGGGTCTGATTTACATGGCATGGCAGTATCTGGCAAGATTAGACCGTACCCCTGCGTAATTCTCAGCGTGGAAAGCAGCTCAATCAATATTAAGAGAGACCTGATCTAACTAATACCCCAGAACATCTCTAATTTGAGCGGGTAGAGTGTCTTTCCCGGGACTGCCCTGGGTCACACCTCTGAAATCTCCCTTTACCGACATGAATCCTCTATTTGTGCATCTGTCTGTTCGTGTTATTTTCCATCGGGCCCGTTTCAAGTAAGCAATCAACAGAGGGCCGACACTCAGCGGGAGGTTTTCAACACTCTGGGGGGCCGTGGGATCATATCCATCGCCTTCCCTCTCAAATCATCATACATAGCGTCTCCTTGATCCAACCAGCAGATATGAACCATACCAGCGGCGCGGAGGCTGGCAAGGCAGGCTACAGACGTGTCCAACACAAACAACCTGCTTTCTGCACTGTCATCACCAGCAAAAGACACCAAAGCCTAGTAAAGAGCCCGAGGTCATCGGCATAGCTACTGATGCTAAAAAGAGGTGAAGTTCAGAGTTACTTAACACTACAAGGTTGTTCCTGTTTATAGGATACCATTTTGTGGACATTTGTTGGAAGTTAAAGGGATGGGACAGTTGAGTTCATGATCAAGTGGTTGTTTCCCTTAACATTATATTAAGATGGGGTCCCTCTCCCACCAACGACAACTCCTCCCCGTTAAAAGAATAGTTCACACTAAGTCTAGGATACACAATAAACCGGATACATTTAAAAATGACGTTTTCGTCTAAAATGCTTCATGCCACATTATCATTTCAACTATTTCCATCATCCACATAAAATGACTGAGAATGCTTTCGTTTATGTATTACATATGCACACAAACATTACATGATATACACTTATTTCAGGTAGCCGCCATTTAAAAACACGAAAGCGAGGCTGCAGTGGGAAGAAAGTATAGGATCAGCACTGTAAACATTCCAATAACATGCTGTGAACTACAAACCTCCAGCTGTTGTCAGGATTTTAAAGTGCAGATGTGGTGTAAACATCCCTTTAATACCATTCTGTTAAGTTTAATTTAAACAATTAAAAGCCTATGAGGCATCAAACGACATAACAATCTCTTTAATAGTAATACGCTTTAGTGTTCTCCCAGGATTTAGTTCATGGCACCAGATAAACATTGTGGGTACATTTCCCTGCTTCAGCCTATGTAACCCGGTGAGCAATAAAACAATGCAGTTCTCTGTAGCACACTCTCGTGTTGTCTGTAATAGTGTTGTCCCGGTACTGAAATAAAATAAAAAAAAACGTCCATTTCCCACTAACATAAAGAGCCGCTTAGCACGTTCTTAAACACCTCTAATTTGGCACAGTATTCACCTGTGCTCAAGAGAAATGACTGTGATTGGCCATGAAGGTCGTCAGTTCACCGCTCTTTACTAAGTGCAAACACAGATACAGGGCCACTAGTGTGTTTTAAACCCGCAAAGATCAGTTGATTCATCAGCAGAACACTCGTCTGTTTGCACTCGATAAACAGTGGTGACCTTTACGGCCAATCACAGTCATTTCTGTTGAGCACTGGTGAATACTATGGAAAATCAGCGCTGTTTGAGAATGTGCTCAACAGTGCTTAAATGTTAGTGGGAAATTTACATTTCAGTACCGAAATTCAGTAACATGGCAAGTCTAATAAAGTGGAAGAATCGATTCATTAACTTGAGTTTAATTAATGGCATCTAAAATGTGTGTT